ACTGCAGTTCACTCAACTGCAACAGTTTGCTTTTGATAAGTACCTTTTCAAGTTGCATCCTTTTGCCTGGAGGTTTCACAGGCACTTAAACATCACAGCAGCTCAGAGTTCTGGTCCAGTGTCTGGTCCCTGAATGACAGCAGGACTTTAGGCTTGTCTTACGTGCTGCAAGCTCAGGTCTACTGAAGCTTACACTCCTCCGGTGGAAGTCTCATGCTCCAACACAAACTGAAGACTCCAGAAACTCAGGCTAATAAAAGCCCCCTTCCCCTCCCTGCGCTTTCAAAGCAGGCAGCAATACCCTTCAATCCACCAGAAAATAATGGTCCATCTACCTCCAGTCCTTTCTGCGGGGATCCCTCCCTAAGCATATTTTTTTTTCAGGCTCCTCTGCTCCTGAGATGCCCTTTAAATTATCAGGCAAGAAATCTCCCTCCTGAGCTGACGCTGAGCAAATGGGCACACATCTGTAGCTATTGGGCCTTGGCAGATAAATGTAGTTTAAGCTAATCATTGTACTGGTCCCTTATATAAGCCTGACTTACCCAGCAGAAGCAAATTTCAGATGTTTTACTGGCCTTTACTGAAATCATCTGGAGGATTCTCCGTTTCCTTCTGTTTGCTACCTACTCTGTGGTATCCCCAAACATCTAGAGATGTAAATACAAATGCTAGTAGGAAATACTTAACTCATAATTTAAATTAGAGGGCATCGAAAGCCTCTGTAATTACTTACTGCAAAAATGATAGCAGGAGGGTAAGCTGTTGCCACTAGCTCAAAGGCTTTTGTTCCTATTAAGCAGTAGCAAGAAATTTTCCCTGCAGGAGAACAGAAAGAGCAAGTCAAGTGCATTCTGTATTAAACCAATAAGCCATCTAGGGTGGGGGGGGTTTATCCTAAATAGACTAGGGATCTCTTAAAAGACTTTGGCGTTGCACAAAGTCAGATCTATGCCGTGCACCCACCGCATTTCATTTTCTGCCTCTGCTTCCACCCGGCAGCAGTGCTGGGAGCTCAGCTGTGGGAGCTCGCCTGTGTGCCGGCTCACCAGGACAGGGACCTCACCAAAGGACCCAGGGGACAGGGCAGGATTTGGCTCCGAACAGGGCGGATACGCAGCCCACACTTTAGAGGAACACCACTAATAGCATTTTTTTCTTTTAATGCATAAGCCAAAAAAAAAAAACAAAACCAAAACAGCCCACAAACCATCAAGCAGAGCGAGCACGAGACAGAAAATTTTTTAAAAAAAACTGTATTACAGCTTCTCAGCGTAATGAAGCTTATGCCACGTTACGTGTGCTAAGATACGTACTTCTGCTTAGTGAGAGCTTCACCATCACCGTCACGTCCCTAAGCAAGGCGCAGGCAGAGAGCAAGGAAACAGCCCAACAGCTCAGTTTGAAAAGCAGATGTGCGAGGCACACCTCCCCGTCGCTCTCAAAAGCGCCCTTTCAAAGTCCTGACAAACACCGGGGAAGAGCACAGCTTAAATCGAACAGCACTTCACTCCTCCTAACCAGAGGCTTTTCAAAGTAGGTACGACAAGGGAAAGCACGACATGAGATCATTTTCCTACGGATGGGTTAAAAAAAGCATTTGTCTTCCCATCACCAAAACGCAAGAGGAGACAAGAGACATGGTGGAAAGTGGAGCAGACGAGCAGTCGTGGTCCGGACACCTTCACGCCCCAGCACCCTGAGCCGTGTCTGTTCTCACATCAGCCTTTTGTTCAGGCTCAACAGGAGCATTTTGAAACGTTCACGTGTTCACAGACGGAGCTGCCTCCCTGCACGCTCAGCCCAGCAGCAGGTCAAAGAGAAGTATGAGCTCGTATTGGCGAACAGTTCCGACCGAAGGTTTTTGCTGGGTGAATGTCTCCAGGCGTTTGGGTCTCGCATTGAGCAAAGAAAAAGCATTTAAGGTCCATTTACGGAGCACTGTTCTCATTAACACAGCAGTAACATTTACCTTCCTTCTCCATCAACTCTACAAACTACCACTAGGAAGAAGGAAGGGCGGGGAAAGGAAGAAAAGCGGGTGTTGTCTTCTCCCCACGGCATTCAATCACCCGCACAGCGAGATGCTTCAGCAGCCCGATGCGATTGCAGTGAAGAGGCCCATCACTCCACAAAATCCTCTGGCAAGACCGATCACTGCCTGGCAGCCAGTTAGTCGTTTTGACGGTGGTTTTAGGTAAATAAAATTGCCTCTGTGAAAACAGCAGCTCATACATCTGCTTGCGAACGCTGCAGCCGTTAAATCTCAAACACACGTCCTCAAAATTCAGAGATACTTTCAACACTGTCCTGTAATATGTGAATAAAATGCAACTGACTGCACAGCTGGTTCTGCTCCTTTAGCTGAATCTCCTTCTAAATTATTACGTGCATGCAACCCTGCATATACATCTTTGCTTGGAACTCAAATTAATTCTCCTTTCTACTTCTTCAGCCAGGACCTAGCCTGCAGGTTGCCAGTACTTTTCAGTACTGCAGCTTGCTTGTGTCCCACTGCTCCTTTCGCCTTAAAAAGGAAGAGGAAATTGCTGGCCAACAAGCCTCTTCATGTTCATAAAGACATTGAGGGGAATGACGGACCTTTTACCCTCCTGCTTGAGCTCAACACGCAAAGGCCAAGCACCAGAAAGCCGTCTCGAGGTGGAGCGTGCTTGGACAACCCAAGAGGAACACCCAGCTGGGAACAGGCAAGGAGGAAGGGATGCAAAAGGGGTTTTATCCCTCGGGTGCTGCGATGCAAGTGAAACTCGAATGAATGAAGTCAGCTCTGCAGCACCTCAGCTGTTGTTTGACTGTTTGAAGACCGTGGTGTTTTCTAAATTAAAACCTAACGCAAGCAATAAAATGAGAACGAGATGCTATCAGACGGATCAATCTACTGCCAGCTTCTTCCAGTACCAAGGGAGAGCCAAGGTCCACTTATTTCATACTCTCCTCGAATTATCCTCTCACCTCGACACTACCAGTACCAGTACCAGACAGTCCCCAGGTGCCATTAAGCAGCCAGCCAAGCAAAGAAGAACCTCTATTTCTTCATTTTTAACAGAGCAAGCTGCTTCTAGCTGTTATTAAGACTGTGGAAAAAATAGGTCCCAGGAGAAGGGAACAATAAAGAAAAGTCCATTGCAGTACCCTAACTCTGCTGCCTTGCTTTCAGACTACCCAAACCCCAGCACGTAGACATCCAAGTGCGGCACCGATATCTGCAACTTATATAAAAAGCAATTTCACTCTGCTACAGGTCAGAGCAGAAGGCGGACAGCGCGCGAGGCGAAAGCAAAGGCTACCTCTTCTCCGCCCTTCAGCCAGTACAGACGTTCCCCACGCTGTACGGCAAGATCCTGAGAGCGCAGACGATGATGTGGCCGAGCACTGACTGAAGGGGTTTCCAGCACCCTTGCGTGGTGACTGCGTCCCTCGCATCTCGACACGTTGCAATTCAAGCCCCCAGTGCTGAGGGCCAGAGCAACAGAAAGCTGAGTTCAAAGGGATTGCCTTTGGATCTTTTCTCCAACGCGACAGGGTAAGACTGCGGAGCGCTCAGCAACAGAGGAACGATTAGCAGAAATAGTGTGGGATTTAGTATTTCTTCTTTACAAACAAATCTTGTTTATGTAAAGCCCAAGGGATGAGCGTGACAGCTTGACAGGAGAAAATGATGAAAGCGCGTGGATGCAAAATAGACTGTCATCAACCAGAGGGAGAAACATTTGATACTTTGCAAAGAATATATGTACTTTTTATTGGTTGGTTGATTTTTTTTTTTTTTTAAATCATGAGAAGTAGACATTGGGTTTGTGGCAGGGGGAGACGAAAAAAAGTGTTCACAATACGCTCCGCAGTTGTATGCGTCAAAACCGCCTGCCAAAACACTATCTGCCAGTTGTCTGTTTTCAAGCAAAATCTCCCTCTGCTGCCTGGGTTACCAGAACACTTGTACCCCACTGCTGACAGGGACGTCAGGTATTTGATCATCTTCCGTATCTACCTTTCCTTACTAAACACAAAACACGACAAGGAACTGTATGTGTTCAGCCCACACCATGTTTATATAAAGCTTTAAAATGCTTTTTCTTTTTTTCTTCCTCAGTGTCCAGACTTTCTGGGAACGTCTGAACACCATGTATCCGATACACCACTCAGCAATGAAGGGGTTTCTGTTTGGAAACACAGAAGCTTTATTTCCAGACTATGTAGATGAAACTAAACAAAAGAAGCTAAAAGCTGGAGTACCATTACACATCCATGGTGATATGACGGAAAATTAACTGATTTGCAGTTATCTACATCAAGAAGTTAATAGGAGCTGCCAATTCTAGGGCCAGAGCTGCCTCTGTCGAACTCCTCCAAAGCAGCAGGACTTATGGTGTGGTGAATTGGGTCTCTGATTTCCATAACAAAAGACATGGCTCCACTCAACACGAGCAAACAAAACCAGATCAGAGCACGCTCAGTGTTTTACCAACACGTATCGTGACAGCACAAACATCCAGAGCAGTCACGTAACGAAGGACCTAGAGTTCAAACGGGGAACGGAGTAAGGCTGTTGGACAGAGGGGGAAATACACGCGTGGGATGCAGATAAACAAAAAACAACCCAGAGCGTCTGCTCCCGTTAGGAATCTGGAGATGAGTCTGGAAGGGAAAGGTCAAGGGATTTTCCCCTGAAACAGCATAACTTGTGTGGCTTTCATTTAGTCTTAAAAGGCAGCACAGAAACAGGATTACAACCCATAATTTCCTGGCCTACTGGTACACAACAAGATGTAATATTTAAACATTAAAATAAGATCGCTTAAAAAATAAATCTTTCTGTCATTACGGAAAGAGCACTGCAATGCTACTAAACAACAAAAAGCTCAGAAGAGAATACTTCAGATACTTCATTTAAACTTACATCCACATACAAGTAATAACTAAAGGACTCCAGTTGAAAAAAAACATTGAATAATATACATTTAACAGTCTAATGTGCTCACCTTCCCATCATAGCGTTTCACAATAAACTGATCGAGGCCCAAGTCTGAAAGAGAAAAAAACCACACAAAACACCTTAGAGAAGTGCTCTTAAGAGTATGTAACTCTAAGAAATGCAAAACCTACCTTCTTGCGTTTTCTGTTGGAGTGAGGGTTAGAAAGTAAGATGCACCATCTGAATAACATCAGTGAAAAGCATAAGGGCAGATGGAAATCTTTTTTGGCTTCATGCATTCTGTACTTTGTTTTTTGATTATGAAAGACAACAGACTCACGGCATCAGTGAAGAAAACCTCCCCCCAGCAGGAACAGTAGGAGCACAGCTCACAGCACCTCTCCAGAGCAGAAATTCCCACTCCAAAGCAGGAGATTTCCAAGCTATTAACATTCTGTGATACCATGAAAGCATTTTGCCCAATATCGCCCATGTAAAGGCACGTTCATAAAACTCTGACTGTTCTTCTTAACACTTTCTGAACGGCTCACAAGTGAGAAAACAAAGAATTGTTCCTGCAATTAGTCTGGCCATTGCCAAATAAATCCTAGACGTGTTCATATTTTAGCATAAAATTGCTCACAAGTAGATTTTAAACCAGGTGAGTTGTAGCTGCACTTGTAAGAAGGCGAGCGCTTGAGCTCGAAGGGCATTTTGGAGAAAGGCAAGGAGAGGAGTTATTTATACTAGTAAATGCAATCTTTTATATCATTACAACACGGTTTTTTTCTGTCTTGAAGAGGGGAAAAGAAAATAAAAATCACAGCATTTGCAGAGTGAAGACAGAGAGCTCTCCATGTAATCCACAATGCCCGGCAGGCTACATGTGCACTGATGAATGCACATATAAGCAAGATGACAAAAATATTCCAGAAGATTAATTACATGAGCTTTGCAAACTAGAGGCAGGAAGATGGACCCTGAGAAGAGATTACGCAGAACTCACCCCCAGCACTTCCAGTAACTCAAGCGGCATGGGCCAATTGCTGGTTCTCTGAAAAGTAAAACCCCTTGGCAGAGCTACGCCCCGTGCATTTTCTGCCGCTGCTTATGATAATTACCACAACCTCATTTCAATTTAAATTAGAAAAATAAGATGGAAAACACAAACTCAAAGGTCCCCCACGCCTGCTGTGTCACCTGCTTGTGAAGGAGGATAATAAACCCTTCCCATCTACTGGAAAGATTCATAATGGTTACGGTGCATAAAATGGAGTTATTAACCTCTCCAGGGTGACCTCCTCGTCCTTTCTGGACTGAAGCAGCTACAACTCCTCTGTCACCAATTTCAAAGGTCAAGACAATTGTCAGAAGGCTTTCAGGATTTGTGAATATTCAAGCCAGAAAGCACTTTCTCACTATTTTGTGCGCCTGACGATAAGAGTGAATATCGCATATTCATACACATGGCCAGACTTGAACCTTCTTCTGAAGAATGCTGTCCTCCTCCAAATTGTGGGTATAAACACACTTGGCTAAGTAAGGCAGGATTCCTTTGATAAATGTGCTTATTTTACCAGAGACAAGTGATCTGGTCAGGGCTCACCCCTGGTCATCCATCTGGACGTTGACCGCAAAGGTGAGCTTAGCTTATGTGCATGGGTCATACTAAAGTCATTTCTCAATCACAGCTCCTGGTCCCCTGCCAGGAAACGGTCCTGTAAGACAGCCCGACATTATACGCATACTCACGGAAAGCTAATAAAGGCCACGAGTTAAAAATAGCGAGTGAAAGTATGTCTTAATTGCACTCCAGCCCCCAACTGGACACAGGAAAGCAAA